ATGGGACTAACAGGAAATGAATTTAAAACCCGGTACAGAAAGCACACTGCATCGCTACGCAACCAATCATTGAGAAACGCAACAGAGCTCAGTAAATGCGCTTGGTCATTAAAAGACAATAACATCGATTACGACATCAAATGGAGAGTGTTATCGCGTGCTGCACCATACAATACTTCAAGCAAACGTTGCAACTTATGTATTAGAGAGAAATATATTATAATTTTCCAACCACATTACTGTAGTTTAAATAAAAGAAATGAGCTTTTTTCTTCCTGTAGACACAGAGCCAAATCGTTGCTATGCAACAACTAGTTTTAATATCGTAAACACACTCCATTGTTATGCAAATCAGTAGCGCTTATAACGTAGTCTGTTTCGGTGGTTTATTTAATAAAGTCTTAACTCCTGATGAGTGAGGTACTCCATGTACCTTACGAAACAGTACTGTAGAGTGAACTTTACTCATGTAGTAGTGTCTTAATTTCTCTGTCCACGTATATATATATATATACAGATAGCTTACACATAGGTAAAAATTAACATTTTCAGGACCAGCTGTCTAGGTACTGTTTACATGTGCATATCCAGCTGTCTATGTGCTGTTTACATGTGCATAACCAGCTGTCTATGTGCTGTTTACATGTGCATAACCAGCTGTCTATGTGCTGTTTACATGTGCATAACCAGCTGTCTAGGTATTGTTTACATGTGCATAACCAGCTGTCTAGGTACTGTTTACATGTGCATATCCAGCTGTCTATGTGCTGTTTACATGTGCATAACCAGCTGTCTAGGTACTGTTTACATGTGCATAACCAGCTGTCTAGGTACTGTTTACATGTGCATAACCAGCTGTCTAGGTACTGTTTACATGTGCATAACCAGCTGTGTAGGTGCTGTTTACATGTGCATAACCAGCTGTGTAGGTGCTGTTTACATGTGCATAATCAGCTGTGTAGGTACTGTTTACATGTGCATAGCCAGCTGTCTAGGTATTGTTTACATGTGCATAACCAGCTGTCTAAGTATTGTTTACATGTGCATAAACAGCTGTCTAGGTACTGTTTACATGTGCATATCCAGCTGTCTATGTGCTGTTTACATGTGCATAACCAGCTGTCTAGGTATTGTTTACATGTGCATAACCAGCTGTCTAGGTACTGTTTACATGTGCATAACCAGCTGTCTAAGTACTGTTTACATGTGTATAACCAGCTGTGTAGGTGCTGTTTACATGTGCATAATCAGCTGTGTAGGTGCTGTTTACATGTGCATATCCAGCTGTCTAGGTATTGTTTACATGTGCATAACCAGCTGTCTAGGTATTGTTTACATGTACATAACCAGCTGTCTAGGTGCTGTTTACATGTGCATAACCAGCTGTCAAGGTACTGTTTACATGTGCATAACCAGCTGTTTAGGTACTGTTTACATGTGCATAACCAGCTGTCTAGGTACTGTTTACATGTGCA